CGTTAAACATTTTCTCACTAATACACAACATCGATTTGCTTAGTAAAAAAATGAGTATTTGTATTACCCATTTACCCGATTATTTTCGCGGATCATCAAGTGAGTCGATACTTTTTTTAGGGGAGTGTAGTTGTAAATATTTCTTGTATATATTTTTATTTTGTTTTATGTTTGATGTATTTGAGTATGTTTGTATTATTTGGGATTTACTTGCTCACAATATGTTTTCCGAATCTTATGTAAGTTGAGGATCTAATAAATAAAAAAAGTAATAAATGACTTTTTTTTACAAACCAAGATTTATTTCCATTTAATATTTTATGAATGAAATCTAACAATTGGAGATTTTTATTAATTATATAAATTGGGTGACTAAAGGCGCTAAAGAAATTAAGAATCTATTTTAATGCTAAAATTTATTATATTACTATATCTGTCTGGTATGTGAAATGAGTATTTTTCTATTATTCATTGATATAGGTATTTAATGAGTAAATCTATTATTATTCTGCACATTTAGAAGTAATATTTTAACATTTTATTGATAACTTTAATGTTACACTTTTAAATTGGCATTGAAGTTGATTCAATAAGTTTGGTGGTTCATTTGTTTCAAGTTCATTAAAAGGATCTTTGATTTTAAATTAATATCAAATACTCAATGATTTTGATTTTGAACAGAGGAAAAGAAAATTTTACTATGTTGCAAATATTAATATTAATTTTATATATGAAAATTTGCGAAAATATATATATAACATTACAAATTAAAAACCAAAAATATGTTTTATTATTTTTTTTTTTTCTTAAAAATTTATCGGTTTTTTGTTTTGTTGTGACATGAAAAAAAAAATATTATATTAATTATTAATGTTTATATATATTAGGTATGTATTAATTATTATTATTATTTTTTTCCTGCCAAAATTGCCATTAGTAAGTAAATTAAAAATTAAAGAAAACCATTACAATTAAGAAATAGAAATTATGTGTAAATTTGCCAATGTATATTATATTATATATAATGTAAATAATTTTTTGCCATCAAAGAAATGATTTTTTTGCCGACTAACTAATAAAATAAAAACATATGTATATATCTATAACGATAAAAAATTTGAAACGAAAATGTAAAACCCGTTCGAAACCAGCCGAAAAGAAAAAGTGAGGAGGGGGGTTTTTTGGCGAAAAATATTTTTGCGTGTTTCTATAAAAAAAATTTGAAAGAGTTCTTTGTTTGTGGTTGTTGTTATATATTTAAAACCCAAATTTTATTCCCAATGCCATAATATAAAAACACGAAGTTGCCAAAAAAAAAAATAAAGAAAAAAAATATTACACATAAAAGTAGCATATATTTACAAATTTATACAAGTTTTTTTAAAGAAAGCCACCGCCGTAAAAAAATAATAGTAATTCCATAATTCTTAAAATAAAAAATATCCATCTCCAACAACTATATAAGATTTTTTATTTTATGAAATTTAAATTCCATTAGTTACTGTTGGTTGATAACCAAAGGCAGTTGGGCGATGATGATGGTGGTGATGGTGATGATGACGGCGCCCATGTGTTGTTAATGGTGAAGTCAAGAGAGATGGTAATTTATTATTATGATTATTATTATTATTATTACTAGTTGCGGCGGCGGTGGTTGTAACATTAGAAT